CCGTTATGACATTTGCTAGAAATAATCCGAAATGTATTATTCCCGCTTGTATCGCGCTAACAGAATTAAAAGTAAGTATATACTACCTTTTTTTGTATTAGCTATTACATTATGCCCCCCTGATTTCGTTCACCGCCACTCGAGTGGAAGCCTGACAAACGCAAACAAAATAAATATATATATATTTTAAGATGAGAAACATGATTGTCAATTAACATTGCCGGCCGATGAACTCATTCAGTAATAGTTTTCTTCAATTGTACGAGAAATAATTGACTCATAACAAAGTTCAAATTAAATTTCAATCAAAATTAAATATTATCTTCTAGACGTCGGTAGCTGATTCTTTATCCAATCATGACAGGGCGTACAATAACTCAGTCGCAGCGCAGGTGTGCTGTTGAAAATTTTCATCAAAATTATCACGAATTTTTAAGTATACGATCTATTTAAATTCGCGCATAATAGAAACTTAGGCTATTTAGTGGAAAACTGAACTAGCAGTTTGGTGGAAATTAAGCCACACATCATCTCGAGTGATGCGTAAAAGAGTGTGTTGTGTCGAATTTGAAACAAATGACGGCAGATAAGTAAAAAAGTCAATCACGAAAAATTTATTTTCATGCATTTCCGTCCCGTAATTTGATGTTATTTGGAGTGCCGCATAAACGCATTAGGCAGTTTTAACGCCGCCGAAAACAACGATGAACAAATGTTGAATGTATTTCTTTTGGTCCCGTAATTTGGTGTTATTTGGAGTGCGCATGCACGCATTCGGCAGATTTAAAGCCGCCGAAAACAACGATTTATTAACAAACGTTCAATGTTTTGTTTTTTTCGGTTAATCTCTCTCTTTTTCCGAATCGCTTAAATCTGATTCGAATCGATTCGGAAAAGATGCGATTCGATTCGTAAATCCTATTAACCTTACATATACTTTTGGCACGGGTATAAATTCTGATTGTTTGTCCTCAAGTACGAGTGTCATTTAGTCCGTCGACATCGATAAACTAAGTTCCGACACAATTATCCCTCTACGCAGGTATTAATTTCATTTTGTTTAACTACACAATTACTTTATAGATATATTGACGTGACCGCCTAGCCCTCTAGACTGTCTCAAAATATATGATAGCAATTGTAGAATATTATAAAATAGTAAAGTAAAAAACATCCTCGACGGTTATAAGTAGGCCTTCTTTTTGTCGGTGCTGATCGATATTCTTTCATGTTGGCTTTGACTTATTGCGTCGACGATTACGATTAGCCACGAAATAAAATATTTGTAAAATGCTTTTAATTCGAACGTAGGACGGCGGTAGAATGTGTGGGTGATATTCGATATTCTTTTAAACACGAACAACGATATTCAAAGGTCGCGATATTGACATTAAATTCAAATTGGACATGCCGGCTTATGAGTTTTCTAATTGAACACCGAGATTACTAGCGTTACTGTACAGCAGGTCTGCACAACATACGGCCCGCGGGCCGCATGCGGCCCGCAAGATACTTCTGTGCGGCCCGCGGGTGATTCAGAAACACGCCACTTCTCGGGTCTAACAATCAAAGCCGGCATTGTTATGCAAGCGCGCCGCTACTCTGATCATATTCGAAATCGTGAGATTTACGTTTTTCACTAGTTTCACTAAATGTCTAACTTTGTGTGAAATTTGTGTGCCCTTCGCGACCCCCAAAATTCGTCGCTAGACCCCTGGCCCTCCAGTTTGGGAAACCCTGATTTAGATATCTCAGTATTCAGACTGAATCACGCTTAAAACAATATCGGTATACAATCTCACACCCATTAGTTCATATTAAAAACCTCTTAATAACCCCATTTTTTTACTAGCAGTTTATGAAACTGAAGTTCCTTTTGTAATTCAAATTTAAAACTTAAAAAACAATTCCGTCATTTATGATTGGTGCAAAAATTCTCGCACAAAAGATTTTGCTATTTACTGTAAAATTTCAAATAAATTAGGCAGATTTTGTAGAAAAATGTAATCTAACAGTCAAAAAAGTACAACAGAGGAAGATCTACTGCTACTAAATTATGTTCATCGCCAATCGTCCATTCTCAAAAAAATTCAAAGTGTTTGCAATCGCTTTATTAGAAGAGTTTTTCATAGAGGTAATCGCGAAAAAATTGATGACTTATTTAAAGAGCATAGGCTACTACGAGTTGTGGATTTAGCTAAATTCGAACTATGTAATATGATGTTCTCTTGTCACATTGGAAAGCTTCCGTCCAGCCTGAACAGCCTGTTCCAAGCAAACCCAAATTCAAACAGCAGAAATAAAGATAATTTTTGTATTCCATTTGTCAGTAAAAGTATTTCACAAGAATCAATCGCAGTATGTGGACCAAAAGCTTGGAATTCTCTACCCGATGACATCAAAAATTCAAAATCGAACTCAGAATTTTGTTCCAAACTTAAGGTCAATTCAACACTGAAAGGGAGAGCTGTTGATTATTTGGATTGAATGAACTATCAGGAAACTGTCCTCCTCTTCAGTCACCATAGACCAGCTGACAATTTCAATAACTCCACAGGATGCTTCACCCGGATTCAATATAGAACAATGGACTGAATTAATAACTAGCACACCATTCTAATTTCATTATTATGCGTAATTAGACAACAACGAAAGCACAGCAATTTAGGTTATAGATAGTACAGTTCAATAGAACTTCAATGCTCAAATAGTAGGGAGTAGGGACAATGGTTTTTGTTTGAGTAGCATGCTGTTCAATTTATTTCCATTGTTGCTACCTATCACCAAATCACACTTTTTCTTCTGCTCATCCCAAGATACCATATAATTTTATTATTTTAATTTACATTGGAAAATCCATGACATGGTAAAATGGCTTCTCTTTTTAACTTATCATTCCCTATCCCACTGTACCTTTATACCATTCTAATCTTCTGGCTGAAATGCAACCATAATAGGTTTTGTGGAAATGCTTTTTATTAATTTCTTTTATTTTTTTTTTGAAACTTCATTGTTTTTGGCTGAATCCAGAATTCCAAAAAAAACCTTACAATAGTGAGTTATTTGATACATACCTTTATCATATTTCACCAAAACCTGTAGGGTCACATTTTGGCCAGAACAGCCATAGACCACTTATAACACTGTCGCCCTTGAGTGGTGCATACCATATATGTACACACCCTTTAAACTTGACCATTCCCGCGTTTTATAGTATGTGGTATCATCACTCAATGGTATTGTACATTCATCCAAATTCTTAATTTTTTTTTTTTAATTTTTTTATTACTATATTCATATGCAGTGTGTTTCATGTTGTGTTGTGTCTCTATTTATAGATGTTGTTTTGTCTAACAAACTCCTTTGTACAAACAGTTTTGTACGCTCCACCCATATCCCTGTTACCGCATCCACCCACCCTCCTTGCACAACTGCCTGTATAAAGGACCATATTGTACATATTTGATTTACCCTATTATAATTTTATATATATCAAAAGGGGTGTATGCCGCACAACTGTGTTTTAGGCCAATATGGTCTTGTGCATACATCCCGTCTTCAGTATTTATAATTACTTACTCTTTTATATTGCTTTTACGAGACGAATAAACATACATACATACATACATACATACATACATACATACATACATACATACATACATACATACATACATACATACATACATACATACATACATACATACATACATACATACATACATACATACATACATACATACATACATACATACATACATACATACATACATACAATTTTAACCTTTTCGCCTCGCCGCACACAAAGGTCAAATTCTACTAGCTTCCCAGCGGTGTAAAAACTAGATTCCCATCGTGCAACTGACATACCGTTAAGTATAAGTATAATAAGTATAAGTATAAGTTTATTTCGACTCCATAATCAGCATAACAATACATTTGACAGATAAAAACAAATAAATAAAAACTGAATATGAAATCAGGGGAGCAAACAAAACCTTAGATAAGGTTTATAACGTACAAAATATAAGATGAAAGGTTTTGCCAAGAGGAAGCCCTGTTTAAAAAAAAAAAAAGTGTAAAATTCTTTGAAATTAAACATACCAACTGGTCCGTTGACCGTAAATTTTGACACATGGCCTCGACGGCGACAACGCGTATTATTTCATAGGATAAAGGTCAAATAATCGGTGCAAACAGACATAGAAAGGCAGGAATAGGCTACAATGGGCAAGTGGGACTTACAAACAGTACAAATGGTTGTAAGTCTATGCCTTGTACCTGTATGCGAAGTAACTATTCACTTTAGACAGATGTTATATTCACTTTGTCGGTATGGGATAAGTTAGCCAGTTATTTTATTTAATATGCATGGACGAAAGCCGTATCCAAACAGCTGTTACGGTACGAGGAGACTGGTTGGGATCTTATTAAATACAGAAATAATTATTTTTAAGGTCTAACAGTTTAGATTTTGTTATACTGTTATACCTCACTGTTGGCGTATCGTAAGTGATGATTTTTTGTCTTGTAAAATATATTATGTACCGATACTGCGATACCGGAATTTTTATAATTCTGTCAATATTTAGGGTCTGGTATAGCCTAGTTTAGTACAGTAGTACCACATGTAGACTACTTCTAGATGACCTGGCTCAACAATTTTTGCATATGTCAATCCTAACCCCCACCTGACTATGTCACCGAAAAATTACGTGATTTCGACGTCACAGTGGCGTAATAAGGCCCACCGAAGTATGCGGATGGTTGTCCAAAACGCGCAGATGATCACCCGAAATCGAGCAAACAATTTCTCTCGTTTTCTCGTCACAACGATCACTTTAGGAGAGAGATCGCCGGCTTTAGCAAGTTCGTTATCGGCGGAGCAGATGTCATTTCGGGCGATCGTAATTATACTTTGGCATTTCCTATGACGTGATGGTGACGTTGTAGTGACGTAATTTTTGGATGGCATAGTCAGGTGGGGGTTAGGAATATCATATGCAAAATTCGTTATGCTACGCCCACCGGAAGTACTTGCAGACTTGTGGTACTATACTAGACCCAATACTTCTGTCTCTGCTACGTACCGGTACAATACCGATACCTTTAAAACATCTAAAATACTGGAATATGAATGTGAAACTTAACTCTGGGATTTGAATAAAGGTTTTTTGGTATGTGGTATCGTTTGAAATGTCAGACAAAGCAGTTGTACCAGGCAATTATAAAGGTTGGTTGTGGAAGTGGACAAATTATGTCAAAGGTTATCAGAAGAGATGGTTCGTACTTTCAAATGGACTGCTGTCCTATTACAAGTAAGGGATATGCTTATAATGGGGGTTAATATTCATACCTATCCAAATAATTGAAATTAAAGAGTAAAACACTGATTCCTGTATTCAAACAATGCAATCATCCATTCTGCCATTGCTGCATTGTCAGAACGTAATGAATTCATGATGATTATTGAATTAAGGAATTCAACCTCTTTGATATTTCAAGCTTTGTTTTGATTTGTTCCTACTTACAGACTTATACAATATTCAATCACAGCATTCTAACATATTTTATTTCAATTGTTCAGGCTTTCACTTACAGACTTATGCTCTGATGTTCCATATTCAGATATTATTTATTTTCCCACAATCAGACACTCGTCTCCACCAGTTAACTTGCTGACTTGACAGTTTGAGTATTTTTCAAATCATGATAATTAAGAGGGCGTAAACTATCTACTTCCAGGCATTGTTTATGTTAAAGTGTGTCTTCTCTTTTATATCCTGACATCTTGATTATCGGTATACAAGGTGTTTTGTTCTTTAGGAAGACAGCTGCTTCACATGATGATAAGTTGTATTATCTCCTCTGTATCCCACTCACTTTTGACTGACAGATCCAAAGCAGTTAGAGCAAGGATAGAGAAAAATTGATAAATTCAGGATAGGATTGAATTTACAAATTCATCCCCGGGGAGAGGAAAGCCGATAAGACAGCTTAACCATATGGCTGTATGGCGAACCACTGCCTCGCATCCAGTTAACATTCCATGTCGGGTACAGGATTAGTTAGGTATTTGTTTTCGGAAGTATGGGCTTGATGGTGGAGGAGCCAACACCAGATAAAAAAAAATTAACTTGTCAATTTGGGTTGTGAATCACTCTCTCTGTCTCTGTGTTAGTTTAGTGTCTGAAAGTAAAGTTTTGCAAAAATAAAAAAAACTTTGATGCTCGCGCAGCTCAAGAACTTCTTCTTGTGAGAAAATGTGAAATAGCTTCTAGTATTTTCCGGAGGAAGTAACGACCACCGCCTTGACTCTAGCTGTAACTGTAATTGCTATTCAAATATTTGGTACTCTTTAAAAAATATTCAAATTATTTGGTTCATTAATAAAAATATTATATTTTGTCAATGCCTTTTTATATATTATTACAACGCATCAATTGATCACCTCCTTTCTATATATTTTCAGGTCTCAAGCAGAAGTGTCTGTAGCATGTAGAGGTACAGTCATTTTAGCTGGAGCTTCTATTGTTACTGAAGATTCGTGCCATTTCACAATTTCAAATGGAAGTGCACATCGTTATCATTTGAAGGTAATGCTTTTTAACCAGAAAACAGATGTATGTATTGTCTTTCAAGTTTTGGCAAACCTTCATTTTTTTAGTTACCCATATCTTATTATCTCACATATTTATACATATGTGTAGATATTGAAAAGTATTCATGAGTCATGACTTATTTTATTTTGTAATCTTCAGGCTGGTTCAGAAATAGAACGCCAAAGGTGGATAACGGCATTAGAACTAGCAAAGACATTATCAACTCAAATGCTGGATTCAGGTACATACCTAAATTGTATATGAGGTGCATGGAAAAATTTGACACAATTTTGTATTACTGAGGCTTTTGATTAGGCTTCAGTTACTAATTTGTAGAATTGCACATTATTTGCATTTTGACAAATAAAATAATCTACTTAAATTTTTTTTTTGTGATTCATGGCTTGCAGGGCGAAATTTCTTTTATTTTCTTTCGTTTTGCATAAAAGTATGAAACAATTTTTTATATAAAATTTCTTCGATTCCAATATTTGTTGGCCTCTACTAAGGTACTATTAATAAGGCAATTCAAAAGTTTATTTCTTTTTGATATCTGTTTAAAATTATGTAGCCGTTGTACCTAGTGCCCGCCTTGGTTTAAAGTTATGCACTTTCACTTACCCACAGAATTGTTAGGGGTATGTGTATGAAATGATTGCAGCTTTTAGGGCAATAAAATTTGGAAAACAGGGGCAACTTTTTTTCTATTAAACCGCACTGCGACTGTATTAGGTAATTTCTGAGTTTCAAATATTCAAAGCAAATTTGTGATTCAAGTTTTTTCTCATATAAGCATTTCTTTTCTTTGCAATCATTATTAGTAATACACAAGAATATCAGCTGACATATGCTGCTTAGCAGTGGTCTGCATATCTTCATTCAATCGCTACTCATGTTTGACATCATTGGGCAGGATAGTGTTTTATGCATATTTTAAATATCCAAACTCATTTTTATTTGCTAGGCCTATTTGATTTTGAGGATAAATTATTTTTAATTTATTGAACATTCAAAAGGACATGAACAATTGTTTGTCGACCCTTTTCATGTGATTATGTATTTGTGGGAAGTGATCATATTTGCTGAGCCGATTTTTTGTACTTGACCCCCTCATAGCAACTTATGTTGCTCACTGATGTCTTGGTAGGAAGCTCTTGTTATTAAACAATAGCTCAAAACTGTCAGGATTAGATGAGGTCAAAGCTTCGATAAAAAGAAGGAAAGTTATAACTTGAAACTGTGAGGGTAGTCGATAATTTTATATTCAATCCTTCAATAGTATTGTATTTATGGTAATAAATGATATTATAATGTGTTAACTATCGTACGGAATGGGTTAACGCTTATCTCTTACATTTATTCACCTATAAGTGGACAGACTTTAATTTCAAAAAGAAGAAATCTGAAAGATCGTATATAATTTCCCAATCCAAATTTCCAGCCAGAACGATTTTGGTTAATTATTCAAAACAGGCAATTTGAAATTGTGTCACAGGACTCATTTTTTAGTATAAGGGTACTTTTCATTTCAAAGTGCTATGATATTTAATGTCTAATCCAGGGCTTCCCGAACTTTTGAGCTCGCGGCCCCTTCTAATATTTTAAAAATTTTCGCGGCCTCTATTTACGTTAATAATGCTAAACAACAAACTACTCAATAAGAAAAACAATCACATATTTACTTAGATTATTGTTACTTAATTATTCAGTGTATTGGGTGCGGATGCATTTTGCTGCATAGCAAGTTCAGCTGTAGCTCAATGTTTGTTTATGCAGGCCTAAATGATGAATTGGGATGTGTGGCCACCGACGGCATGGTCCTCATCCAGGATTTTTCACTCTCATTGATCAAACTTACCATAAGGCAAATTATCAGGGAAAACACACCTATACGAAAAATATGCTGCCTAAAAATAAAACACAATTTTTTCATTGTTAATATATGCACTTTATGCCATTTGAGGTTTATAAACATGTAGGCCTAAGGAATAAAGGCCAAGGGTAACTTTTGGCTCTCCCGTAGTATGTGAACCAAGATGGCAGACACCGAAACGTAGTATGTGTAACAATAGGCCATAATTTCATTCCAATTTACTTTACTTTAGTTCTATCACGAGTTCGGCGACTAGCCAAGTGGCTCACGTAGTATTTGTATCTGAAATTATGGCCGAACCCTAACCTGGTACACAATACACATACTACGTTCCGGTATCCACCATATTGGTTCACATATTACGGGAGTACCAATTTTTCTTTCTTATCTCTGTCTGGTTTTTCTTTAAAATGTTAAAAAATGTTCGATAAACTCAGTTCAGCAAATGACTTAACTGCAGCCTACGAAATTGCAGCAAGTAGGGCTTAATAATAAAAAGAATCGTTTCTGAAACATTCGGTTTTCTGTGGATAAAGATTATTTTTCCTTGGCTCAAAAGTGTTGCGAACACCCATCCCCTTTGCGATTTTGTATTTATATAAAGCAGGCTTTTCTGCCATGGTCCATTAAATGTGATTTCACTGACTGTCGTTAGGTTTTGTTTGTTCGTTTATATGAAATTCATTGCAAAAAAGGTCTTTTATTGAAAGGTATTAATCAATACGTATTTTCACGGGGAGCCGCAACTTGAGCATAATATTTTTGGAGGGCGTCACAATACAATGATGTTCGAAAACCACTGAGTCCTAGTCGATAGCGAGAAATCTTTTCTACTTTTTAAATGTAATAATCTATGTGTAGCAGGTATTTTAAATCATTTAAATCAAAACGTGCTTTTTATAAGTAAATAAAAACCGATATTCATATTTTGTAGCCTATATTTAAAAATGTCGCTATTCTCTACATCCCCTCAAAATAAGCCCTAGTGTTATTTGCGAAAGAAAATTGAAGACGCTGTCTTATTTTCGGGGAAACAGGGTATCAAGATGTATTCACTCGGAATCGTGAAATATTGTTTTACACTATTTTTATTAATTATATTTGGAATCAAGAGTCTGAAAAAAGCACAATAGATATAGTACTTTGTGTAAAATTGGTGTTCTCTTTGCGGCTCTTAAAATTCGTTTCGCGGTCCGTAGTTAGGGAAGCCCTGGTCTAATCTATCCTAAAAGCTTAAACAACAACATGATGATGAGAAGACAAGATAATGAATTTGTGTTCTAGAAAAAGAAGTGACATTCAAATGGCTTATATTTTCAATGAATGTCAGCAACTATAATATTCACTGTCCACCTACCAGATGTGAATTCAGGGTATATTCTTCATAATTTTTTTGGTGCTCCCAAAGTATGTGCACCAAGATGGCACACAACCTGAAACCTAACCTGGTACACATACTATGTTCTTGGTGCACATACTTCTGGAGCTCCATTTTTTTATTTGTTAATAATTTTACTTCAAACTCTTGGACAAGCTGCTACTGATACTCATGAGTGTTTTTCTTGATGATCAAAATCTTTGTAATATTGTTCATTGAATAATCTTGCACGATTTTTTTGTTTTATGTTGAAAAATATTGAAATGAATGTGTTGTGTAATTGTTTTGGTTTTATAGTATTTAAATGGACAATGATTCCTATAATAAAGGGAGAATATTCATAAAACAACCATTTCAAAATAATGTTTCCTTGGAATGATTACTTCAGCATTTATGCAATATTCCAAATAAATAATATCCTCAGTTCCGTTCTTGTTGTGTTCAATTTATTATGTGAAAACTTCTCTAAATTAGCCTTAAATAAATGGGTTTTTTTCAGGGAGTGAGCAGTCATTGTCTATAAATGGAAAAATTTATGCGATTGTCATAGAAATACAGTTATGTGTCAACAGAAATGCAATTTTAAAAAGAACTATTTTGTGTAGAATTCTGCGCAAAAATACTTTTCTTTTTTTTATACACTGAGCCATTTCATGGTTGTGATGTCTACCTTTAGTTGTTCCTCTTTCATCAGAAGAATCTTCGGACGGGGAATCGACATCTCCTACATTCAGAAAAGGATCTGTTGATGTTTCACATAGTGATAGCAAAAAAAGGGAATTTGCCTATATTTCTCGACATGATCAGTTATCGGAAAGTGAGAAACATGAGGTAATTGTTCAATAACACTTTATAATCTAGCAGAATTTATGATAATGACATAGTTGATCCAGTTTTGCCTGTTTTCTTACTAACATTCATCAAATCGAATAGGCCTAGCTTATAAATCATTTATTTTTCATCATAATATATATGGATGAAAAAGATCACAAATATGAAAAAGGCTAAATTCTTCAAATTATGTGATAGGAGTCTTAAGGGACCTTAAGGAGGTCTTCTAGCAGCGACACGCATAATGCTGTGTCAGATTGACTAGCTATGAAAGTTGGTACATGCAGATGCTTCTAATCATTATTCCCAATATAATAAAGCACTAAAACAATTCAAAGAAAAATATTTTTAGAACAAGAACAATTTTAGAAAATAGGAAAGTCAATTATATATTAATGTTTTATGAGAACATAACATTCTGTATTCATATTTTGAAATTTGCGCAAGATTTTACACAAGATGCAGCATACTGTGCAAGGCTATCAGATATTTGAAAACAAGACTAAGCATAAAATGATTATTCATTTATCATGTGAACGCTTTCAAGCAGTTTTCAAGTCAAAAGTTTATTAACGTCATTGTCAATAAGGATTCAAAATACTTCGAAACTTACGTATTTTTTTTTAAGTCACTTTGAAAATCATGATAATACAGTTACCTTATGGTGCCTGGTTGATCACTCTATTAACACTCATGTATTAATGTATTTCTGCATTTTATTTCGGGACTTTGTGAAAGGCAGATAAGACAGTGTTGAGTTAAATATATCTGACGTTATATCACCTATTGCCTGGGAAATGTAAAAAATCTTTCATATTCTGACCTAGAAAGTAATATATTTTATATTATTAATATCCATGTTTTGGCAATCATTTATACTCATAGGTTGATAAATAGGCATCTAGTTATTGCTGACTTTCATCTCATCTGTTAGGTTTACACAATCGGAGATTTATAGTGACCTTTGCACTTTTAAAGAATGTTCCACCTAAGCAGTGACTGTTGATGAATCAGTGTGACAAAGTCCATTTTATTATGATCAATACTAACCAAATCAATAACTTGTCGTTTATTTGAAGGTTTTAGATTAATAAAATTTAAAAAAAACTGGAGGAATAACATGCCTATTAAATGCTTGTGTTATCCGATACATTGTCGTTCATATAAAGTGAGGAAAGGGATGAAGGGTGTGCTTGTGCTATCCATTCAGTGTCATTGGATTTATTTTTCAATATCTTTCTGCCATTTCTTCTTTTTCACATATATCAATTGTTGCACCACGGTGGACATCAAAGTCTTTTTTTTAATTTCATTTCAAAACTGTATGTTCAGTCAGACAGACAAGTAATTCGAAGAGTAAATTTACAACAACGTACAACAAATACAGTGATACCTCAAGTCGAACATAATTGGTTTAGGATTAGTGTAATAGTGGGCCTACCGAAACATTTTTTGCCATAAGGAACAATGGTAATTATTAACAAAACATCTAAACAACAATAACTATTAAAATTTTTACATAATAAAGATAGAATAATGCAAAATTTTATATCAGTTACTGTAAATTCGAGCAAATTTTTTGGCGTTATTGGAATTTTTTTGTGTGTGATGATGTCATCAAAATTTGCACATCTTGCGGTTGTTCCACTTTCGCGTTAGATGTCAAGATTATCATAGCGGTAGTCTACTGTGACAGATTGCATACCCGTACTACTTACTTCCCTTCCTATGATTATTGTTTTGGGTGATTGACATAAGAAGACAGCTGAACAAAAAATTTTCTGACTCAATTTCTGAAAGTTGTAGAAGATATAAAATCAAATGATTTTAATTTCGAGTTTTCAGATTCATCTAAACATTTTATTTATTTCATAACTATTCGACATTGTATATATTATATGTTTTAAGCGTTGTCCGTTCCCGAACTAAATATAAAAAAAAACGTTTTTACTTGCTCAGAAATAACAGTAATGTTTTATCTCAAGATCAGAGCGACTCTCACACCACTAGAAGTGAAGTTAGCAGATCTTGAAACATGCAATAATTTGATTGGAAAACATGGAACTACGCTTTTATCAGCATTGGCAGACTTGGAAATTGTTGAAAAACAACTGTCTAATAATCCCAAATCTAGCAGTGGAGGACAGAATGTTGGAATAGCAAAATTAAAAGTTGTCAACGAACGGGCTATGCTATTTCGTATAACATCATCAGCTATGATTAGTGTGAGTATTGATGATTATTATGTTCTGATCACCTGCGTTTGATAGTGTAGCTCCATTCCATCGATGCAACTTTTGTGTCTGAAATTAATTTTTTGTGTTACCGAAATGTGTCATTTTCTGCATAAATCAATCTCTAATGCTAATTGGTGTTATGGTATTTTAGCTATAATTCGACTCCTTTTTTTTTATATTTTAGTACTTATTTGAGGTTATAAAGAATTGATTTATTTGTAGGCATGCACTGAATTTCTTCAAGTTGCCAAGACACAAAGTAAAAAGTGGCAAAAAATGTTGACGCATGAAAAAGAGCAAAGATTGAGACTTGAAGAAACTGTTGAAACTTTGGCAAAACAGCACAATAGGTAAAATATATCAGATGCTAATGATAGTTTCAATCTTTTCGATATGTTTTCTTCTGTTTCAAAAAATTACTGATTGCAAGTCGCTAATTGAAAATACAGTCTTTTGATGTGCTACTGCTCCAAGGTATTTCATGAAAATTAACAACCAGCAAAATAATTTACAGGAATCGAAGTGGTATTTGATGACGAAGACCCCAAAGCTATGTTTATTTAATTTTTTTGTCAACTTGTTGCAGTTTATTTGTCATCTTGTATTCTTTGCACAGAAATTGAATCTGTCTTCATTTCTGTATAAAAAATTGTTTCTTGTCTGGTAAGATGACAGGAAAAATAGAATATGGTTATTTCTAACTATTTCAAATTAGCATTTGATTTATATAGTCTTGAACGAGCATTGAATGCAGCAACTGGTCCCCCTCGATCATCTCAACAAACAATAAAACAAAATAATGATGGTGATGTTACATTACAATCTTCAGCTGAGAGACAGGTCGAGCCACAAATAATAAGTGAGTTTTAAAATTGTGACTCTTTTTACTTGATATTATACGCATGAATATTTCGGACTCATAAATTAAGTTTTAAAATTTGATGATTTTTTTTAATCCATTTTTACTATCCATATCTTGGCCAAAGTTGGAAGGATACCGCATTGGTGTTAAGTCAACAAAACATAGCCTGGCCTTATTAATGAAATGTACAGAATTATATTTTTCTGGAATGCAGCAAATAACCTAGTTGGAGTACTTGCATTTCCATAAATTAAATAAAGAAGGAATTAGTTTTATCTAGGGGTTCGGTGGCAAACTACAAATAAAATTTCAAAATATTAATTATGCTAGATTTGTTCATTGGGTTTTCTGATTGCGATAGGATGATTGATGTGAATATGTGTAGAAAGAATGCTGAAGTTGTTTTTGCCGAACGGTTCACCCTGTAGATTTATATCACACTACACAAGAAGCCAATTGATTGATGGTTCATGTCCTTGTTTTTTTATATCAAATCGCTATTGTTTTATTTCAGGACCTTTGAATACACTTAATGATGAATTGTCTGATGAAGACGATGAATTTATGGATGCCTATGAAGATGCTTATCCAGAAGAAAGTAGTCGGGAGGAAAGGTACAAGAAATCATTCCAATATTTCACCCAGCCTTAATAATTATGATAAATCTTCTTGTTTTTGTTTCAATGATCTGATATTTCACAGATTTTTTTGTAATTTTTTGCATGCAATCGATGTTCTGTGAACAAATTGAAAATAAATTTTGTAGAACTGCTGAGGAAAATCAGGATAAAGGTTCGATATCAACAAGTAGTAGCCATGAATCTACGGAGTCTGTTGAATCAGGATCAGAGACAAAAGCTAGAAAATTATTATTGAAAGCTGGCCACGGAGCTTCATATGGTGGTGTAAGTTGCATATGCTATTGGGAAAGTTTTCAGTTTTACAAGAATCATCTGATTTTATTCTATAATGATACTAGAACAGTGGTTCTCAGTTACCCTTTTTTCTTTCGCGTCCCATTTTCGTTGTACAAAAATTCTGTGACCCATTAAACTTTTTTATGCTAGGTGAAGTCCACAAGCAAAACAAAAAATTCTTTCTGCAAAAATAGACACTTTCACTATAATAATATAGTGGAAAATTACCACCCTGTAACGAAATACAGCATCATTCGTTGCTACAACAATCCAATTTGAATAAATTTATCAACAGCTCTAGCAATTCTAATAGATCTCTGGCCCATCTGAAAATGTTTCTGTGGCCCAGCAGTGGGCTGTGGCCCAGCAGTGGGCCGTGGCCCACTGGTTGATAACCAGTGTACTATAAGAATGCAATTGACCTGATTCCAAAATAAAGTGTAACTTTTGAAAACCCAAAAAATCAGTTTGTGCCCTTTGTTGCACAAGTTTATGAGCAATTGAAATGAAACCTTGATTGACTTGACCTGATTGTTTGAGTATTTCCTTACTACGCTAAATAATTAGTAGAAATGATGACATGTGTATCTTGGTACATTTATTGCTGTAGCTAAATTACACTGCAACGATTTAATGCTGAACTTCAAAGGGTACTCTTCACATGAATAACTGGAATTTTAATTCTTTGAATTCTTTATAACAAGTTGAACTAAATACAATTTAAACTTGTAACACAATATTTTTCAGCTCAGAGGCCGATTATTTTAGAGTTACTCTGTAAATTGCCAAAATTCCATGTGTCCACGACACACATTATGCTGAGTTCAAATCTATACCATGGTAACTGAATTTGTTATCCATTTTTAAAAAGTAATGCTTTTATTTTGTGCTGCCTTTTTTGGCTGTAAAATGTAAAAATCCTCATTTTAGTTCTGAAAATACTCTTCATCTGATTTACCGGGTCAATTTATCAGCCGGAAAACATGGTATTAAAAATAAATCAATTGATGTTCACTTCATTTTTTTTATTAGTTTTTTAGAGCTGCAGACATTTTCAATATGTTCCTTTTCTTGAAGGTGATTCATCGTACAAGAATTCCATTCAAACCAAGCAATAAACTAAATTTATGGAGTTTTATGAAGAACTGTATAGGAAGAGATCTTTCAAAAATTCCTATGCCGGTATGAGGAATTCTTGATATTTATCAGATTTACATAATTGACTTGCTAAATAAAATAGAATTGAATACTATCTTGTAGGGATGGGACGACTCTGGTGTTACAGAAATTTACAAATCTGAGTATTAGGTCAAGGACTCTAATCGAATCTTCAGAGTCTGTGACATCATGATGCAAAAACGGCTTCTGACTCTGCTACAGCAACATGCGCTCGCAAACTCAGTCATATCTCATATTTTTTGTTTGGTGGTTTTGTAGGTATCTGTTGAGCCATTTTAGAAATATATTTTTCCACCTGTTTCAGGCAGCCACAAAGCCCACAGTACAAAAGTAAACGTGGGTCAATGGTCGCCTTGGTTGTAGTCATGGACTGAATTTCCCGTGTATCGCCTTCGTTAATTCTGGGAGGCTATTTAGAAATTCTTACATGTCATTTTTGACTACAATGTGTCCACATATACTTACTATGCCACATGCGCAAATGGTAGAGAGATGCCACTCATCAATACAATGTGGTGCATCTGCTTGTGATTTAGTAGTTCATGCGAAATTTCTAAAACTAAAGAGTTATTGATGTAATTACCCATTGGGTTGATCTATATATTTCTTGTTATGATAATTTAATATGAAATGGTTTTTATTAGGCATGAGCGGGTATTTACTTGTGGTAGTGCATGTTTCATTTTTACGCGAAGTCAAAACTCGAATATATTGCATTGTTCACAATTCACATGTATAACAAAAATGATAGATAGTTTGAGCGGCGACATTATTGTTATAAGTGATCAATAGTTTTTATCTTGCATTATTCTATCTGAATATCTTATATCATTTTTCTCGGCCCATCCCTACTATCCTGCATCGTCATTGACAATGAATTTTAGAATAATGAGTCCAAGATTTTTAATATCACCCAAGTATTATCTGAGATCATCTTCATTTTAATCTTTCCTTATTTTTTTTTATTCTAGGTCAACTTCAATGAGCCGTTATCATTTTTGCAAAGATTGTCTGAAGATCTAGAATATAGTGAACTGCTGGACCGCGCTGCTAGATGTACTGATTCATGCGAACAACTTGCTTATGTTGCTGCTTTTTCTGTATCATCCTATTCTACAACTCTTTTTAGGTGAGGTGGCTGATTGATTGATAAATACAAAACGTGATTTTGAAAAGATTTTTATATAATATTTGCAGATGACAAAATTATTGATATACTCTTCAAGCATATTCCAAATTCCTTTCAATGCTGAAAAATAATCCTGTGTGGGAAAAATTTTTTCATTTCTTTCTATGGGTTTGTAGCCATCAGAGCATAAATTTCCATTTTGCTGTATCTTTGGCCATACAACATCTTGTTTGTCAGCTTAATTAGCAAAGTTCATTTTTTTAGGTATTTTCCCTAGCTTTCAATGATAAATATAAATTGGATTTTTATGAATTAACTTTTAAAAACTGTTTGAATACAATATGAAAGTGAATACAAATTTTAGAGCACGACCGATATATCGGGCCGATATTGCGTGTTTGCCGATATATCATATCGGCCATACTCGGCCCTGCGTAACTGGTTTCCCAATATTTCTCTCGCTTTCATTTTGCGTTTCAAAGGTGTCTCTCCTAATTCCCCCGGTGTCTTATGATTAGCCATTTCATGCATGGTCATAACTGAAAAGTTATTATCTGGAGTAACAATGACGTTTTTGAGTGAGTACACATTGAGAAAAAGGCAAATTTAGTAGCAGCATTAAACGGTGGTTCTATAAATAGAATGGATTGGAAGCTGGTGAGTTAGTGATCATAAAAACATGGTACAGGTAGCTCGAAGCAATATTGTCAGTTCCGAATTTGTGACCTCCCCAAATTCAATTTTAAATTTCTGGGATAACAGTTTTGTTTATATTGATGAATGCTTATCATTTTGCTGAAAATTACAAAATAAAAACTTAATCCATTATTATTGACTAAATAAGGTACCGGTATTGAGTCTCTGGAAACAAAGTTATTAAAAATTTCACATGTAACTGCACATGTATGCTATCACAATATCGAAGGATCATTATCACGATTCACTTTAAAATATATCAATTTTGAAATTTTTTAATATCCTTAACATATGTCCATAGTTATATTTAAAAACGTCTGATTAACAATTCTTTTTCCTGGAAATAACTAGACTGATATTGAAGTATCAGGAAAAGTTACAGAATAACATTTGTTCGAGCATTAACTGAAATTAGTTAAATATAAGTCTTACTGCCATGATAACGAATATCAAAATGAAACTACAGACTCACAAGGTGCATCATGAAAGCGTCGCTCAAAATATGATTTATATTAATATCGGCATTGCGATATCGGTTATCGGACACCAGTTGGCCGATATATTGATATCGGCGTCAAAAAGTGACATCGGTCGAGCTCTAAATACAGTTAGGACAATTGCTACATAAATGGGTGAGAGTTCACAGGTGATAGAGTTTAATAACTGAAAACCTTTTTTGAAAAACAAGTTTAGAAGAATCTCTGTAAAATATGCACCACGCAAATTACGTCGATTGGAGAGTGTTTGTAATTCTGATGCCAATCATATTCTCTATTCTTTTATTACCCATTTAAGACATGGGTGGGACTGGCGATGATTGGTTTCAGATGATTTATTCATCGAATAATATAAAAGGAATAGGGAGCGAGCAACTACATCTTAACCGGAAAAAATTTCAACAGAACTAGACTGCAAATTGCACTGAAAAACATGAAAAGCAATATATTTTAATATCTGTTAATATTTGCAGAATCGGTAAACCTTTCAATCCTCTATTAGGAGAAACTTATGAATTTGACAGTCTTGATGAACATGGTTATAGACTGCTTGCTGAACAGGTATGCCAGAATTTTATTAAAATTTGATTCAGAAATTTGACATAGAATAATTCTATTCTAAAATTTAAAGTCATGGTTGTTCTGAAATAGCGTATCTAGTTTTTCCAAATAATATAAACTCCAGACCTTCTAACATCAGTCATATGCCCAAATTCCCATTTTTTCATTTGGAATATCTTGATTATGTACCAAAATATAGACAAAGTTTTAGTTTGTAAAGCATTCCATGACACATATTGAGCTGTAGATAACGAGACGACAAGTCCTTTCACTTTATTAGGTTCTTTGTCTTTTGTCATTAAATTGGATGTTAACAAGTTTGGTATTAATTGATATTTTTTAGGTCAGTCATCACCCACCATCAGCAGCTTGTTATGCTGAAACGACAAAATCAGTTGATCATGGAGGTTGGTCTTTCTGGGAACAAATCACTTTAGTCAGTAAATTTAGGGGAAAGTATATCAGTTTTACACCAATTGGGACATGTCATGTTAAGTTCCACAAAACTGGACATCACTACACATGGAATAAAGCTACTATTACAATACATAATATCATTGTTGGAAAGTTGTGGGTTGATCAGGTATTCAATTTTTTTGTTTGTTTTGTGGTTGGTCTATGATTTGCACTATCTTGGCACGAACTTAAAAAAATTGTTATCCTTTTTTTTTCACCGTTTTCTGTTGCGATTATTTGAATTTATCAATATTTGGAAACATTATTACTATTTCCTGAACTCTTTGTGTGTTGTTCCAGAGTGGTGAATCAAACATTGTCAATCATGTTACTGATGATAAGTGCAAGATAACGTTCTTTCCATACAGTTATTTTTCAAGGGATACACCACGAAAGGTGAGAACTATATACATAGTTTTATTAACAAAGACTATCACATAATCTACTATTGAATTACTGGTACCCTTAGACCTTCAGATTCTACGTTTTGGGAGATTTTTATCTGATCTACATAATTCACGCCAATTACTTCTAGTCATTAATTAAACTTGTTGCCAGATTTAAAAGCGCCAACTGGAGATCTTCTGTGTAGAATTTTGTGAAAAATTATAGCTATTCAGTGAATATTTATATTACTACTAAAATTGTCAGTTTTGTAATATTTTTTGGAGTCAAGTCTGATGGAAGTTGAGGTCATATCTATATAGTTCGAATGATCTTCTTATATATTCAACACTGAATTCTTAGATATCTGGCTTTGTGATAGACAAAGATGGCAATGAACGTTTTCAAGTATTTGGAACATGGGATGCATCTGTGAAATGTAAAAAAGTCGATAAAGCTACTCCGAAAAGTCAACAAAATGTCACTTTATTGTGGCAAAAATATCCCCTGCCGTAAGTCTGTTATATTGAAATGTCTTTGTTATAGTAGATGTAGTAAAAAATCAAATTCAGTTGTAGAATGTTTCAATAATATTGTATTTGCATCATACTTTCACAAATTTTATTCCATTGCATTTCTTCTTACTAAAGTCAATTTTCTAAGAAGAGTAGTGTAGAACAATTGTATGTATATTAATTATTGTGTCAAGATTTGATTTTAAATCGATGGTTCAATAGAATTACTTACATGGTTCATGTTGACGTATGATTTTGATATTATTTTTGCAAAATTTCAATTTTTTATAGGAAACTACTTTTATTAATCCAAGTTGAGAAAAATATTTTTATACTTCTAGTCTTCTTGCTGAAAAAATGTATTATTTTACGAAACTTGCACTTATACTGAATGAATGGGTTGATGGAACTGCTCCGACAGATTCTAGGAGGAGACCAGATCAGAGAAAGATGGAGGAAGCAGCATGGGATGAATCTAACAAGATTAAACTTGAATTGGAGGAAAAACAGAGATGCCGAAGAAAATTGCGGGAGATGGATGAGGCAAAAAAGAAAGAGGAGGGTACTGTTCATGAAGTGTATTTACCAACTCTCGGAACAAATACATACTACATCTTTAGTTGTTTTCGTTCATACTTTAATAATATTACGATCGCTCACATTTATTAATGACTTATCAACAAACTTGCGTATCAGGGCAGATTTTGGGCTTCAAGTAAGATGCGAAATTGTTTATTTAATTGAGTTATGAATCACATTATGCAAATCAGGTTTCCTGTTCTATGTGTGTAATATTTTGGAATATAGCCACAATGGTTTCTTGATTGATTTAAACCAAATCATTATTCAAAGTCAATAATTTCATCTATGTTGTTAGGTGTTCCTGTAGTACCTTATCGACCGAGATGGTTCAAGAAAACACAGTGCCCTCTGATGGATGAAGATGCTTTTGTCTTCACACATGAATACTGGGAAGCGAAGAAAAGACAAGACTGGGGACAAACAGTGAATATTTTTGATCTTGATTCTGAGAAACCTGAAACACAGTCAACTTCAACCGCTGATACATCCACTGTATTGGGGGATTTACCAAAATCAGCGAGTGAGGGTCAGTTGACACCGTATTTTGTGAAACAACCTGTCGATCCTCCACAAAGTTCTGTTGTTTCTTGATTTTTCATTGTCTGTAATGTGGAATGCTAAGTCATGACGAAATGACTTCGAAAGTATGTGTGTTGAATTATTATGTGATGGACATGTGGACAGTGCAATTATAAATGTCTATTCTATTTAACATCATTTTTTTTCTGTTATGTCAATACACTGGAATTATATATCAGAAATAATATATTTAGGTTGTTCAGTAATAAGATATTCTGGTTCATGGTGTCAAGATATACATACAATAATAAAATTTTCTTGTAAATTGTAGGTTTTATGCTATCCAGGTTTTTTTTTTATTCTTACAAGGCAAAAATCTGATTAGCTTTGCTGTATTAATTGCTATAAGGAGCTTTCTTGCAGCTGCACAATATTTGGTCCAGGAGATGGGTGCGGTGAATAAGTTGTTGACAGAAATTTAAAAAATAAATCTTGTTGTGCAATATTTTCGTCATTTATTCAATTTTCTAGGGACTCCAGGTAAATAGCGGAATTAATGATGACGTTTAATACTAAATATAGCATTTGGATCACATTTAAAGACTACATATCACAGAGAAACATCCCGAATGGAAATTATGGTATATAAATGAATCCCGATATGGCGCAGGAGGGATGGATGGGATATGTATTTACAGTATGCACCAAATATCACATATGACGCCATATATTCATAGAATCCATTGTTTACAGTTTTGTAAATGCTTCAGGTAGAGTAGGTTATCATACACTGGAACCGCTGGAATTATTTTGGCATTACCTCATCCATTCCAAAATCAACTCTGCCATCTTCAAAGCGCGGGGCTTTACCAACGTTTATCTTATCACGTGCCGCTTTTTCTGCTTATCAAAGCCTGAACGTAGACAGTGCTTTGCTGTGGAAAATATTCTTCTGCATCCCATTTTTATCTTTTGGAGAAAGTTCTTCTTTTAAAGAAATAAAAGTCTTTTCCCACATGCTATGGATGTTTCTGCCCCAAGTGGCGCTAAAAATGCTATGCTAACTCCCGGTTGAAAAACACTGACCTATACAAACGAAAAATTTTGTGTGTAATTTACACCGACAAATGCACATTGCGTTGTCACTCGCGAAATTGATCAATTTGAATCGTTTTTCATTTCAGCAATAGCATATTTGAAAAAGAAAAATCTATTGACAAGAGAAGAATTTAAACTGAACGACAGACTTGCTATGAACATGAGTGACATCATTGTAGTAAGCCAATTTGAGAAAACTCATTTAGACCGTTCTAGACTTTTATCAACTTCAACCTTGCTACTAACGTGAAATAAAAAGAACAATCGTTTAACAGACCCGCGACGGCTATTATCATCTTCGTTCGACGGCGCCACGTTAGGTTTCGTTCATTAAATTTCATCACAAATAAACATAAAAAATATATGAGGTGTGCAAAAGAAGAAGGAGAATCCCACCCACTTCGAGCCTCTGGCAAATCAGCATCGTTCTCCGTGTCATTTTTGGAAAAGGGAATTACACTTGGTTCAGCTTTGGACTGGTCAGGACATGGTGCCAAGTTGTTCACAGAAAAAGTCGTTCGTCTTCCAACTGGGTACTCACTTCCTGATAGTAGCCAAACTGGGGGCGATTGACCCAGTATTGATCTTCGTCGAAAACTAAATATTCGTTTTCGGAGATTCAAATTAGTAGACGAATATATATATATATATATAAGATCTTACGTTATGTAACACGTCGGATGAGACAATTTCGCAAGCGGCCTTAGGTATTTTTTTGAGAAGCCAGGAGCAACTTTATCATCATCATATTTTGTTTAATCCTTCACACTGCGCATTTTAAAAAAGACACAATATCACCGCTGCAGAAATTATATTTTCTTATGGATAGGCGAATGGAGAAGTGAACAATCAACAGAATTATCTTCCCACCCTGTACGCCACCCCTGTAATCTATGCTGATTATCACTATAATTGTATTCCCCTCTTATTCTGATAAGCCATAGATCAACCCAGCAGTCAACAGGACCAACAAAAGCATCAGCCTTTCAATTGTTGTATTGTAACGGTACAGAAGAATTCAATAGCGCTGGAATGCAGCAACGCCAAAACGAAGGTAAAAGTCAATAAAGGTTTGATGGAAGACCGATTTCTAATCTATTATAGAAAATACATGGCCTTTAGCTATCTCGTCCATTTTAGGCAATGTATAAAAGGTAAATAGATGTGTCGGTTTACCGTTTGGGAATAATATATACATAATTTACAATTCTTTTCCAATGTCGGGTATCTTTGATCACAATAACCTAGGCTCTCCGCGGAGGTCTTGAAGATTGTCTTACACCTCCCTCAGGAAGAGGCGATATCTCGCTTTTTATAAATCGCCAATCATTGGAAGAATAATTTATAGAAGGAGCCGCTATCGGTTTGAAATAATTCAAGATAATTATAGCATAATTCAAAGTGCTAAATCGATTGCATAGTACACAAACATTAACATAGTACACAAGGAAGTGCCACGCCAGTTCTAATCATCAGTCTGCTTCATAAGTGTTTCAATATTTTCCAAATAGTTTCGTTGTGTTTTAGTCCTAGGTCTAACATTGTATAGCAGTGGCCGAAGACGGCGAACAGCCGGAACCCATTTTTTTTCATATTAAAGTTCAAAAGTTAAATAATTTAAAACATGGGGGTATGTGTCACAGCGTCCTTTATTGAAGTCATAGACCGGTCAAGAACCCATAATCAAAGACAATTTATTTTTGGGACAGATTCGGTTGATTTAGCAGAATCAAATATTTATTATACCGGGTTTGACCCCTAGATTTAAATAGTAAGGTTAAAGAACGTCATCGGTACATCACTGATATGTAGATAGTAAGTCTAATGGCTTGTAATACTTTCCTAACTGGGTGGAATTTATCGGTTTGTTCTCGTAAACGCAAAGTAAGACAATGAAGGATTTGATTGGGAACGATACTGCAGACTGTTTCTGAAATTTGTTACCGTGGCCCCGGTATGTTAGTCGTTGCCGTGGCCCTATGATCTAACATTTGGAGTCTTTGGAGGATCTTCATATAATACACGAGAGGGATCTTTATATGATCCCTGAAGCCAACGTTACGCGTGCCGTCAATATCTAAATTGTTTGCAGCCCCCCAAATCATACAATTGTACCGAAATGCACTTGGAAGTCCCTGATTCAGTAGCGACGCCATTGATTTTAGAGCGACGTAAAGACAATAGCATACAACCAAATCCACTTTTATTCAAGCTTTACTCACGTTCTAGCAATTGTCCAGTCGAGTTCATCATACTCACGTCAAGCTTAATCCTAGGAATAAAGCTATTATTTGAGCCTGCTTATGTTTAAATTACCAGTGGAACAGAATATACGATGGAAAGTAATTGCCAAAAAGAAGCGGTACGCGTTCACTCACCTAAAACTATTGAATCAAATACATACACACTCGCACGCACACACACAAAACCACAGGGCTATAATGAAGTTAGAAAAAAGTGAGAAGCTTTAGATAAATTATATGGTAAACAAAAAAATGATTAAATACGTAAAAAAAGAAATTAGAATAAAAGATAAATGTAATGAAAAAATAAGAATAGTTTGCCACATCATTTTAATAATTTTATAAAAATTACCAAACACGAGTGAACAGTATTTAATATGAAAAACCCACAAAAAAGGATTTCGCCAGTCTGATTATAATTGTAGTCAAATGCATGAAGTGCAAGTGCATGAAGAAGTGGGCTAAACCGCTTCATTCATCAATGAAATGCCAAATTGTAGTCCGGATTACATCAATTATTAAATGCTACTAGTAACAGTTTAATACAGACGACTATGCAAGCCTGAAAACTGAATGAATATTTGAATTCTGCTCGTAAAAGAGCCTCACACTAACAGTTCATTTTAACCAAAAACAAGTAACACAAAATATTGTTACACGCCGCAACTTTATTGACTAAATTTTTCAACAAATCTCACTGGATCATGTTTTTGATCCTCTCAATTCAAGGTGACTGCTGTATAAAATGTCCATCCATTTTGCAATTGTCCAGCTTATTACAAACATATGTTATCCACAAATTTCAACTCTATCCTATTTGAATGAACCATACAGATGTAATCGCTTACAATGGCTTTCTATTTCAGAACTCTATGGTTGGCCTTTTTTTCCGGAACAATCGTAGCCAGCCCGGGACACGGGACGCTAGACGTCAGTTCCGGGACTGTCCCGGCCATTCCGGGACGGTTGGTAGCCTTAACCGCTTAGGATTGGTGAAAAATTAATTCTACCATCCGTAAAGGAAGTTTTGAAAACTGTTTTGCATTACAAGGCGTCTTGAACAATTATCAAGTCTATTCCATTGAGCAATAATACAGTACAGAGACGAGTTGGTGAGATGGCATCTGATATAGAAGATAGGCTCTGCAGTATAATAAAAAATATAGAATTCAGTCTACGACTAGATGAGTCCATATTGCCGGGAAATGAATCACTGCTACACGGATATGTCCGGTTCGTACATGATGGGGTATACACGCAGAGCTAGCAATGGCTCTATCACTGACAATCAGACACTCGAGGCGAAACAGTGTTTCGGGTGGTCAAAAAGTATTTTGAAAATGACGAAATTCTCTGACCAATATTATAGCTTGTGCAACTGCCGACTGATGGCGCTCCAGCTATGATTGGTCGTTACCGCGGCTTCATTACACTTCTGAAAGAAGAAAACCCAAGTATGCTGCCTATTCACTGTGTAATTCACCAACAACATTTGGTGGACAAGAATTTGGGTGCTCGTCTTAGTTTTTCTTTGGCAATAGTCATCAAGGCAGTAAATAATATAAAGGTCCGTGCGCTAAACAGCCGCTTATTTAAACAATTATGCAATGAGAATGATAAAGCATTTGAGCGCTTACTACTCCATACCGAAGTAAGATGGTTTTCCAAGGGGAACTGCCTTACCCGACTTTACTCACTTTTTGACACTGTTGTTGAATTGCTACAAACTTGCGATCCGAGTCTCGCGAAAAATATTAAGTGGTCAAAAATGATATCGCTCACTTGGCAGACATATTTTCCAAATTTAATGCACTGAATTAATCTCTTTATAAAGACGAAATAACTCTGATAAAGATGAATCGACACTGTCTGGGTTCAATAATAAGCTTGTGAGTTATGAGCGAAATTTATCTCGGCGAGAATTTTTTCAATTCTCAAGCTTACAACAGATATAGACCAGTAGCAGAAGCATATCTAATAGGGACATAGACACTTACAAAACGCATCTTCAAGAGTTACACAATGACATGGAAGTTCGTTTCAAGGATGTATTTCAATTGGATATTCCGCCATGGATAATTGACCTATTCAGTAATATTTCGAACATGAAATTCTTGAGGAGGAACTTATAACATTGATTTTAAACTCAAACCAAAGTCGTGAT